CAAAAAAAAAAAAAAAAAAAAGTAACAGTAAATCCGCCAGGCTCTGCCCATAATCCCAGCACTTTGGGAGGCTGAAGCGAGTGGACTGCCTGAGCCCATGGGTTTGAGACCAACCCAGGCAACTTGGCGTGACCGTGTCTCTACAATAAGTAAAAAAAAAAATTAGGTGGGCATGGCAGCACACACCTGTAGTTAAGGCTATGTGGAAGGCTGAGGCGGAAGGATCGCTGGAGCCCAGTAGGTTGACGCTGGGGTGGCCATGAATGTGCCTCTGCCCTGCAACCTGGGCGACAAAGTGAGATTCCAACTCAAAAAAAAAAAAAAAAATAGCAGTGAATCTAATATGAGCTCTGAGTTAGTTTATTTAAAGCCAACATTTCTCGAATTTATTTTCAAATGACTGTTGCCCTTCCAAGTGACCATCTAGGGAAGCTGTATATTTATTTCAATTATGTTTCCTTTCATTAAACTACTTTTGTAGATTCTTTTTCAGAATTATTTCACAGCCAGTTTTGGAATCAGGAAAGAAAAGTGACCTCCTTGCTGTACTTTATAAATCAAAAACTCCACTTTTTAGAAATGAACTGGGGCTGGGTGTGGTGGCTTATGCCTGTGATCCCAGCACTCTGGGAGGCCAAGATGACAGGATTGTTTGAGCCCAGGAATTCAAGGCCAGCCTAAGCAACATAGCAAGACATTATTGTCTCTACCAGAAAAAAAGTTAGCTGGGTGCAGCAGTGTGACCGGTGTTCTCAACTAGTCGGGAGGCTGAGGCGGGAAGATTGTCTGATACCAAGAGGTTGAGGCTGCAGTGAGCCATGATTGTGTCACTGCACTCCAGCCTGGGTGACAGAGTGAGACCCTGACTAAAAAAAACAAAAACAAAAAACTGACCGAAGGCAAGTTACTTTCTCAGTTGCCTTATTAGTATTTTATTAGCTTACGAAGCCTATACAGCTGTTTTGCAGTTTAAGTTCTGACTTCTAATATCAGAAGTTATCTCATACAGTAAATCTATGTAAAGAGCAAAGAACATGTGAAGCCAAACTGTTGAGACCTGTGTGACTGCCTCTCCCTCTAAGTTTGCATTTTATATGAAATCAAGTGCAGTGTACAGTGCTCACTGTGGATGAAAGTTGCAGTGTGCTAATTCCAGAGGCAGCACTGTGCCTTTGTGGAAGGATAGAAAACCAGCTGGTACCGGGAAAAAGCCAAAAGTGGTCTCTTTTTTCTCCTAACAAAGTAAAAGCTAAGAGTCCATATTTAAAATTTGACCATAAATCTAGCGATCTGTATTGGATAATATGCCTAGTTTTATAAGTAAAGACACACTTGTTTTTCAAAGGCATATAGGTTTTGTTGTGAGAGAAACGAATTATTTGTTTTAGGGGAAGTCTTATTATTGTCTTGGTCTCCAAGACCAATAAAGGCTTTTTTTGTTGTATAAGCCAGTGTTTTAATCTTTTATCTGTAAAGATCACTTTTTATTTACTTTATTAAATATTATAAACATGTGGGTATTTAAAGTTTATTTTTTAAAAATCTTTTTTGCTTCTCTTTCTGTTTTTTTTTTAAAGCTGCACATCATTGACTCCTGGACCCAATTGTGACCGATTTAAACTGCACATCCCATATGCTGGAGAGACTTTAAAATGTAAGTAAATGATGAGTGTTTTACTCAAAATATAGATTACAGTGTGAGTTATTGGACTTTGTGCTTTGGTTTTTATTTCTGGCTGTTGGTTATATTCTAGATATTGATCACTAGCACCTACCACTTATCTGTTATTCAATCCTAGTTCTATTAAAAGCAAGGCAGTTGGCAGGGAATAAGGTGTGGTCAAATAGGCATGCATAGAAGTTCTTAATTTTTATGTGTTTTTTCCCCCAGAGGCAACTCTTATGTTATATCCCAATAGAGAGAGTCCACTGCTTAAGAATACTTGACCATTTAGAAACTGTTTCTCGGTAAGAATGGCTGCTCTCCAGTACTGCTGTTAACCGTCTTCTGGTACTGTGGCTGCCAAGAAGCAGTATCGCTAATGAATTTCCTGTTGCAATCTAAATGTAAGCGTCCACCTAAAGTTTCGTGGTATGGCTTAGAATGGTCAACATGTTACCTCTTTTATAGCAACGGTCAGAGATGCAAGTGGCCTATCAGGGTCAGACTGGTAACAGGAGCAGGCGAGGTGTGGCAGGTTGGGACACCCTGTCTTGAGGGGACTGCCTCTACTGCATTTTTAAAAAATTTTTAATTTTTATCTTTAATTTTAAAGATGTGGGACAGAATTCAGGTCCTACTGCATTATTGAGAGAAGGTGAATTTTTAGATGTTGGCTACTTTTTAAAGATTAAAAATAGAGTGTGGGCTGACCTTACATGGGCTACATGTTTCTGTGAGCTGCTTTGAGCTCCCGGACCTTAGGGTGTGGCCTCAAATGGACAGTGGGCAAGACCTTCCATCTATGTCAGCTGTGAGGCTGCATCAGCCTTTTCTTGCCACTGTTACCAGTACTGAGCCTGCAGCCTGGTGTGGAAAGGACAGCAGCTTTGTTTTGTTAGCATTGGTGGTCTCACCAGGATGTTCTCTCTTGAACCTGTACTAGTGGTGAACAGGCTTTCAAAGTCTTTTCTCTTCTTACAGAGAGGAATAAAGAACATGGGTATTGAAGGTGGGCGAGGTGGGTAAACAGTGCTTTTGGACTATGGACTGTGTGGTCACACACCAGGAGGGGCCGATCTTTGTGTGGTATTTTTCATTCTTAGTACTGCATCGTGTAGGATCACTTGATGTTAATTTACCAAATGCAACATTAAATGAGAAATTTAGGACCTGCTGACTTGCCATGCTGACTAGACCATTGGGAACCATTAAAGTACAAAAGAGTTATGCCTGTCTCAAGTAGTAGGACAGATTAGATTGCTACTTTCTTTGAAAAAATTATTAAGAAATGATCGAAGTAAACCATCCACATGGTTTGAAATATAAATAGTTCTGAAATTGTGTAATGTATGAGAGCAGTAGTCTCATGCTCCGTTTCTCCCTTCCCTAGTCCTGTTTCCTGAGGAAATCACTTGCAGATTTTTTTTTTTGAGTTGAAGTTTCACTCTGTCGCCCAGGTTGGAGTGCAGTGGTATGTTCCCAGCCACTGCAGCCTCAACCTACTAGGCTTAGGCAGTCCTTCCACCTCAGACTTCCAGGTAGCTGGAACTACAAGCCCATGCTACCATGCCCAGCTAATTTTTTGATTTATTGTAGGTCTCACCAAGTTGCCCAGGTTGGTCTTGAACCCCTCAGGCTCAGGCAATCCTCTCGCCTTGACCTCCCGAAATGCTGGGATTATAGGCTGAGCTACTGCACCTGGCCCAGATTTTTAAAATAGTTTCAGTTTGGTGCTTCTGGGGATGAGCTCTGTATCTCTAAATAATATGCTTTTGCTTCTGTTTCTTAACTTGTCAATTTTAGGTATCATGTTCTTTTGACTTCTTGCTCTGATATATAAAGCATCGGCTTAATTTCACTGTTCTCCTTATCTCTCTCCTCTTCCTCTTCCTCTTTAATGTAATTATGTCGCCATTATTGGTTCCTGTCTTGGTTACCCAGTAGCTTAAAAATCTTTACTTTTTAATTTTTTTCAGGTTCTTTTAAGCATTGATTACACAGTTAAATGAACAGCCCCTAAAAATTCTTAGTAAGTGCCTGGCACACAGCACTGTTTTTACTTAAGAACAATCTCTGCACTAATGTTGAACACTTAGTGTAATATTCTTTTATTTGGTTTTCTGTTAACCATACATAGTGTCTTTCGGTTCTGTACTTTATCAGGTGAAGATAGTAACCCTTGTCCTTCCTTCCATTCCTCTTCCTTCATTTCCCAACTTCTGTCTTTTGTTATTTTCCTTTTGTATTTTCTAGATTGATAACTTACTGTCTGTTCTAAATATGTTGTTGTCTTCTGTGCTTTGTCTGCAAACTGCTCAAATGATTGCTCTGTGGGCCTGTGCTTTTGTAATCATTACTGTGGGAGGGATTCACCTTAGTTATCTTCTTGCATTGACCATACTTTATAGAATCTGTGTGTTATAGGTTCTGTTTTGTAGAATTCTTTCTTGGTAAACAGGTTACCAACTGATCTTGTTGAAACCCATTCTCAAATAACTTGGTCAGGTTCTGTTCTTCTCTCTTCTGCCTTTCCTGTAGTCCTTCTTAGAATTGTTTTTATTACCATGGTCACCATTAGGCATCTTAATTTCTTTTTTTTTTTTTTTTTGAGTTGGAGTCTCACTCTGTCACTCAGACTGGAGTGCAGTGGCCACTCCTGGCCACCATAGCCTCGATCTGCTGGGCTCCAGCGATCCTTCCACCTCAGCCTTCCAAGTAGCTGGAACTACAGGTACATGCTACCACACCCGGCTAATTTTTTGGTTTATTGTAGAGATGAGGTCTTGCCAAGTTGCCCAGGCTCAGGCAATCCACTCACCTTGGCCTCCCAAAGTGCGAGATTACAGGCTGAACCACCGGGCCCAGCCGCATCTTAATTTCTAAGAGTGCATTTGTGCTGTTTCTCTTTCTCAGTATCTTGTTCTCATTTTGTAACACAGATCTTTACAGTCTTTCAAAGAATAGAATTTAGAGATTTTTTTAAGAGTTTAAAAGTTTTTAAGAGTTTAAGCGTTTTTTTCTGTTATCTGAATTATTTTAATTTTTTCCAGGGATTATGTTTTTTTTTAATGCCTTTTTTCTCTTCTGCTATTCTACAGGTTTTCTTTAAAAAAAAAAATGGGGCATTCATTTATGTTTATGACCGACAATAAAATAATGATTGGGACTTCTGAGTAGGTGAGCAGGCCTTGGGGAGTGTGTGGGTGAATGGTGGCCCTGATGTTAGTCAACTGTCCTTGCTCTTCCTAAATAGTTCGTTCTGTTTCTTTAGTGAGCCCCTTGTTTTTCTGGGGACACATACCTGTTCACCATACCATTTTTGGGGAGTGGGCATATAGATTATTGCATGAGGAGCTTTTACCTAATTTCCCTGTTCGTTTTTTGTTTTGTTTTGTTTTGTTTGAGAAAGTCAGATTTATTAAGACAGAAAAACTCCCACAGCAGGAGGGGACCTGAAAGAGGTTACCCTTAATCTCCCTGCTCTTAGCCCTGGTCTCATTCTTGCCTCCTCTGAAACTAGATAACAACAGCCCTCCGTGGGTTTACCATGGCAGAGGGCCTCTTCCCCATCACTAACACATCGTATTGTCGCAGGTCATCGCTGTCTCTGTCCTGGCTTGTCAAGTACTACACTTCCTTCCTTTCTTCCTTCTAGAAATGTGTTGAAATTTCTCATCTACTGATCAGCTCCTGACATCTCTCTCTCTCTTTTTTTTTTTTTG